GGAGAGTTCCCCTCAAAATCTTTACATTTTGACTTGTTTTGGGTTGACACTATTCCTTTAAAGCCCTAAGTGAAAGAATCCAAGTAAAGTGCATGGAACACGATATGTCTATATCAAAAGGATAAAAATATCAGTGCCCCCGCCTGTGTTTGAACTCTTGGTTCCGTAGAGTCTAGGAATTTAAAACTGGAGACTTAGAGCAGAGAGTCATTTACTCTGGTATGAAGTGTTGATTTGGATTAACTTCTACCTTTTTTATTTTACTTAAAGGAAAAAGACTCTTAACATCATTTCAAATATGCCTTTAGGTCAGACCTGCATTGGCTGTCTTTTGTAGTAATTTCTGTATTTGCTTATCTGATGCGAAAAAACCACTAGATGAAATAACTGCATTTCCTTATTGGAAAATGAACACACCACCAATTTTTACCCTGGTAGTTTGCTTTCCTTGATCACACAAACCACTTCTGCTTCTTAAAAGAGCAACACAATAGTATTTATTTGAGTGTATACTCTGATGGTTAAATCCAGTATTTTGGAATAACCCCAAATGAACTCAGAAACAAATATGAAAAGCTGTTGGCTCAGGACGTTACTAAAATTACACTAAGCATTCTTTCTTATCTAGCTATATCTCTATAATGAAGGCAACTCCACTTAATATTGTCCACATGATTTATATAGGAAAATTGTCCTTGCCTGGATAGATGCACTTATGCATTTCTTAACATCATTTCTGCAAATCACATCTGTTTCAGCTTTAGTATTTCAGTTGTGTTTTGCCAGCAGCCACAGGTTTTTAATGGCTACAATAAACTACAGAGTCTCATCAGATCTTTTTTGTATGTACTAAAACAATATCCCCTTCAATTAAAACATTTCATGTAAAATCATATAAACAAAAACATGAAAAAGGGAAATTAAAATTAAAATCCAATTTAACTTTAAATTCCCATTCCTGAAAGTGACCAGAGGATAATCTTGACCTGTATTTTAGTACCTTCCCACTGGTGACAGACGGGTCAGTTTCAAAATATTTAGGCAATAGGTAAACTGCTCCTTGACCACCTTCAAGAGTGGGAATTTTACAGTGTCAACATTTTTTTCTCCTCTTAAGGTAGCCAGGAAGATAGCCGTCAGCTCCAGGGTGTATAAAAGCTGTGTCATCTGACAAAATGAGCCACATATCAGGGTGCTTTCTGCACTCCAGTTCATCCAAATGCACCTCCACAGATGACAGAAGGCTTAACTTGTAATGTTTCACAAGTGTGACACTGATGTCTATATGGCTACTATGTTGTTATTTCCACATATATGTTTTAAGGGTGAGCTCCTTAAAGTGTTCTTTAGCCAATGATTCTGGGGATTCTTTGATTTGTGAAATTTATTAATCTGTCCCTGGGCTACCCTGTGGATTTCACAGTACTTGTGGTTGAGACTGTCTCCAACGTCTGGGTATTGGTGGTGGATTCCCCTTTTTATCCAAAGTGTTATTCTGCTGGACAGAGGCAACCTACTGGTACCATGCTTGATATTTCTTTCCTTATTTAAAGGATGAAGAATAGCCCAAGGTTTGTGGAGCACTCCCACCTATACTCTCTAAAACCTTTCAGACAGAATTGGAGCCCACAAGGAACCAGGTGTTTTGGCTTTCCTTTCTTCATTTTTTGGCAGTTGGCAGTGCTGCCTCTGTTTCCATAACTACTGAAGGAGATGAAGGATAATGCACAAGTAAGGGGGAGCAATCCCTCTTATGCTGCCTATTGAGTCATAGGGCTTCTTTCTCTCCATCCTTCCTTATCCCCTTGACTTAAAGCCACAGATCCCTATTTAGAGAGGAAGCGCAAGACTAAACTAAACAAGTAAAAACTAAACTAAACAAGAAAGTCAGAATCTGGAGTTCAGAGGAGCTTTAGGGAAAAATTAGTCTTGATTCAACTCTAGATATATTATGCTATTTTTATTTTTAAAAGTATGTTTCCAAGTATTGTGTTCTATAATAGCTTTAATATATTAAAGAGTGAAGTGTTGTTGGGGAAAGCAAGAAAGGCACATGGAACACTATGTGCAAAGCAAAATAACTGGTGTTCATAGTGGTGTGTCTGCATTTTTTTCCAATATTCTGTGAGATCATCAGTCAAAGTAGAAAAACAAAGATCGTTATAAAAATATTACTCTGCATAAACAAATTTTAAAATATGATCTACAAATAAAATCAGTGTTCTTCCTCATTTTTCTGTCTTCATTTTGTAGCTATTACTGAAATCATATGAATGTCAAAGTCTTGAAGTGCTGCCAGCAAGAGTGAAATGTATGGCACCAGGACTACACATTGGAATAACAGAAGATCAAACACAGATCACATTTCAGCACAAATGAGCACGAGAGAGGGCAGGCCAAGGGTTTTACAGAGCCAAGAGATGAGGGGAGATAGAGCATTCATGTACGCCAAGGCTGAATAAACAACAACTGATACTTCCTTACCATTGTTGACCTTTGAAACTTTCTTTAAGGTGACTATGATCTAATTCAGCCATATCTAAGTGGAAGGATAAATTATTTTGTGATGACTTTTATTGTCCTACCTTGAGCAGAACCAACTCATTCTAGTTTGAATGTTAAAGAAAACTAGGTTATCTCTCATCCTTTAAACAGTAGTTTTAAGCATCGTTTTGTAATGTTCTGATGCTACTTTTTTTAGAGCAAAGCAGTCACAAGGCAACTTTCTCTACAATGTGTTTAAAATATCAATAAAATGTTTACATGGCCCTGATCCAGTCATAGAAGAAGAAGAGTTGGTTTTATACCCCACTCTTCACGACCCGAAGGAGTCTCAGAGCGGCTTACAATCTCCTTCCCCTCCTCTCCTCACAACAGACACCCTGTGAGGTAGGTGGGGCTGAGAGAGTTCTGAGAGAACTGTGACTGACCAAAAGTCACCTTGCTGGCTTCATGTGGAAGAGTGGGGAATCAAACCCAGTTCTCCAGATTAGAGTCTGCCACTCTTAACCACTGCACCAAGCTGTCTCTCATAGCAACCTTGACCAATTTCAGTGTGAGTCAATCATCTGTGTACACAGAAAACAGCATTTATATACAGTGGGGCATGTGCTGACAACATGTACAAAGCCTGACAGTGTATTTTAAGTGACATGCACCAGACTTCACTATGGTTGCTCCTCTGCATAGCCAGTGAATTCCCCTCCCAGTCAAGTCACATGCAGGAAACCCAGGCATATCACAGTCAGATGATCCTGTGGGCTCTGCTTGGGTCAAAGGAAAAAGCTTACCTCATGGCATGGAGGTGCAGACAAATCACTCAAGCGTCAACCTTAACCTTATCTTGCAGAGTCCCTGGCTACCAAAACAAAACTTCTCTTTTACTCACCTCCTCCCCTTTGGGCTAGTGGTTTGGTGTAGTGGTTAAGTGCGTGGACTCTAAACTGGGAGAATTGGGTTTGATTCCCCATTCCTCCACTTGCACCTGCTGGATGACCTTGGGCAAGCCATAGTTCTGGCACAGCTGTTCTTGAAAAAGAGCAGTTTCTGTCAGTGCTCTCTCAGCCCCACCTACCTCACAGGGTGTCTGTTGTGGGGAGGGGAAGGGGAAGGGAAAGGAGTTTGTAAGCCGCTCTGAGACTGCTTTGGGTAGTGAAGGGTAAATCCAATCTCCTCCTCCTTTGTGCCCATTTCCATTTCCTCCAACTACCCTCATTCATCTCCCCGTATTACTCCCTATATGACTTCTGTGTCTTCCATATCCATTCCCATTTCTTCTCCCTTTCCATTTTTTATTAGAACAAGGCATGTAGGAAATTGAATGTCCTGCAGTGGCAATGGCTTGGATTTATGGCTTGTTTTAATGCTGATAATTTTATGAGTTTCTAATGATTTTATTGTATATGTTCTTAACTTTGTCAACTGAGCAGATCTCAGTAGAATCAGTGTATAATTTTTTTCATAAAAATAAAATAATCTGCCGAAGAGAAGGTGAGATCAATAAAATGGGCCCCCAAGGAAGGTCATGATCCTTAAATCGGATAAGAATAATAAATTGTACCTTCTTGGGACTCTGAACTGAATCTGGTAAAAGTTGCCAGATAGGAGCACAGCTTCAGGATGGGACCTAATGGCACCTATGTTGGTTCATTTCGCGTGCAAGCTGCAGCTGTATCTTTTCCAGTCTAGATCATTGGCTGCTAGGTTCATTATGGCCTTCCTGGAGCCCCAGAATTCAAAATTGTGTGAACAGTAGAGGAAGGCTAATGTGTATTAACTCCTTGGAGGATGAGAACTCATCCATGCAATGTCTTTACCTGCATAAAATTGTTGGATTGTGGCCCAAATGATTACAATTCCTATTATTAGTAAAAGTTCTCAAATTTATTATACCACTGCTACAAATCCTTCGAAACAAATATTTATATTACTAGACTCTCATATTAACATTTAAGTTCAGAGACCCAGTGAAATTTCTCATAACTTACATGTCCTGAGGATATTGGCACTATATATTAAGAAATGTATTCCCACTGGTTTTGTTTTCATGCTTGATCAGGCCTTGTTTCGGCCCGGAGCTCACCGGAGCAATGCTCCGGGAGAGAGGAGGCCAGGGGGCGGGGACATGTAGTAAGCCCCACCCCCTGCTCCCAGCAGCCTTCCCCTCTGTCGGATGGGAGGAGAAAGAAGAAGTAAGGTAAGTTGTGGATCCCCCCCCCCGCGTTTCCAGACCCTGGAAAGCCCTTCCTGACCCTTCCCCCCGTCTTACCAGGCCCGTGCTAAATCACGGAGCCCGGCAAAGCACTTCCCGACACACACCCTGTCTTGCCAGGTCCACACTAAAACGTGGAGCCCGGCAAAGCCCTTTCCGACCCCTGGCTTGATCATTATTTTTGTGTCTCTTGCCAGCTTACCACTAAACTTCCAATTAAGCATTGGTAGGATTGGTTTGCAGGAAGTCTGAACAAAAGATTTTTAAATGGTACAAAGTTCCAATTTACCTTCGAGATCTCTCTTCAGTTTTCTTAAGTCTTTTATTAGGTCTTCAAACTTTACTTGGGATGCCTGGAAGAAATCCTGTGGTTCTGGTAAAGGAAACACACTCTTGTCTGTTCCTGCTTCCTAAACAAGACAGGAAAACAAACAACCATCTAGTATCAAACTTTTGAAGAAAGAAATCAATGTTCCCTTAACTTTTCTAACATGATCTAAAGCAAAATTCGAGGTTTTCAATAACGTGTTTTGAATTTTTAATAACTCAATATCAATAGGTTCAAGGTATTGGTAATTCTTCTAGAGAAGAATTTGCATAACCTTGTGTGTATGTGTAAAGTACCATCAAGTTGCAGCCGTCTTACGGCAACCCCACCATGTGGTTTTCAAGGCAAGTGAGAAGCAGAGGTGGTTTGCCATTGTCTTCCTCTGCAGAGTGGTTTTGGTGGTATCCCTTCCAAGTACCCACAAAGCTTAGCTCCTGAGATCAGGCCATACCATGCTGCCTTCCCTCTCCACACCTTGTATAACTTTATTAATTTATTTTAAATATTTCCACATGATCTGAAATCCTGAGCAATGGAAAATGCTCTTGGGCACAATCAACTGTACAGTTAAGCATACTTAAACTCACTGATGGTTAATGCTATGTTCAACTGCTATGCTTGTATACTCAAAGGGATTTTTTCTCATAGGAGAATGGAGAGCTACCTGTGAACAGAAATCTGCAGAACCCTTGGAACAGAAATATTTGTTCTCTTGCAAGAATTTAGAAACATGGTTCCTATGTATTATTTAGAAAATGTATATGCCACCTTTTCAGAGATCTGCTCAGGGCAGTTTAGTACTAAAACAATAAAACAAGGGCATTAAAAACAAAACAAAGCCATTAAAACAAGTCAAACATTAAAAACAATGGAGGGAATAAAAACAGCATAAAACAAACAATGGGCAGTCTAAAATGATTTTAATTAAACAGTCCTCAGGATACAAGAAGACCATAATTTACACTGTGTAATCCACCTTGAGTCTCAGTGAGAAAGGTGGATTACAAATAACCCAAATAATTAAAAAATAAAATTACAGCGCAATCCTGGGGGGAGGGGCTCCTGAAAGTACTCAGGGAGCCAACTGACCCATATGTCTGCATACCTCCAAGACAGACCAGCATAAAGGCCAGTTATGATGGTGCAGGCCCCAAGTGGCTCTTGGGTGCCAGTGTGGGTGTGGGTGGTTTCAGGGGCATGGCCAGAGTTAGTTGGCTCCCTGAGCCCTTTCAGCACAGGAACACCCCCTGCCAGAGGTGGAAAGTTACATCACAAAAAACACAGCATAGCCCATAGGCACCAATTGAACTGAAAAATCAAGTGCCCCCCCACCGCTACAGCCAAGCCCATTGGGCCCAGAGGAGCTGAGAATGCCTACTACAGGCTTGACCAATCACCTTCACCCACAGGGGTGGGTGGCCAAGCCCCCTCCCCGGTACCCAATTGCGGCCCCATCCACCCTACAAAAACTTCAGCCAGGACAATTTACAACTCAACTCAATACACAGCACTGGACTCTGTCTCAGAGCTCCCTGCCATGCAGACTTAGAGCAAGCAGTGAGGCACTTTGGTGGTGGGAAAAGCACAGAGAGGGCACTTAGCACTACACAGTGAGCATTTTGCACTAACACCCAAGGAGGAGAGGAAAGTCCTTGCCATGATTTGCAGTTCAATAAAGTCTGTGTTGAGCCACAATGACATCTCTGTCTGTGTGGTTCTGACTAATTTACAGGAGTTCCATGCTGCTCCATGCCCCACTCCTTCCCCACTCCATCTGAGACTCCAGGGGGGCTGCCCAGTGACGTGTCTAAGAGGGAGGGCTCTTGGGTGCCTTCGGCAACTGTGGATGGCTCTGCAGGTGCCACTGGTCATAGTCATCTGCCAAAAATAGCAGGGGTCCAGCAGCACCTCCAAGGCTGACCTAACACCTTGTAGGCTGCTGTGTGAAGGGGGTACGGGCCAGAAGGTGGTTTGGCGGAATGAGCCAGCTTGGTGTGGTGGTTGGAGTGTATGACTAGATCTGGGAGACCCAGATTCCTATCCCCACCTCTGCCATGGAAGCTAGGTGGGTAGCCTTGGGCCAATTGCACACTCTCAGTCTAACCTACCTCACAGGGTTGTTGTGAACATAAAACGGGGGGAGGGGAACAATGTAAGCCACTTGGGGTTCACATAAGAACATAAGAGAAGCCAATGTTGGATCAGGCCAATGGCCCATCTAATCCAACACTCTGTCACACAGTGGCCAAAAATACCAGGTGCCATCAGGAGGTCCAGCAGTGGGGCCAGGACACTAGAAGCCCTCCCACTGTTGCCCCCCCCCAAGCACCAAGAATACAGTGCATCACTTGCCCCAGCCTGTGAGTTCCTATCTCTACCTTGTGGCTACTAGCCACTGATGGACCTCTGCTCCATATGTTTATCCAGTTCCTTCTTGAAGCTGTCCATGCTTGTAGCCGCCGCCACCTCCTGTGGCAGTGAAAAATAGGCGGAAAAGGTGGGCAATGAATAGCGTGAATTAATGAAGTTTATAAGTGTGGCACTAGGAGAGAGGGTATTGAAGACCTTGAAGTTATTTCTTTCTTCAACAGGTATCACCCTGGCACCCCAAATGTTGCTAGACTGGCGTTTCTCCAGCTGCACCAGATCAAGCAGTTGGCCCTCTTCCTGCTTTGCCCTGACCTAGCCACAGTAATCCATGCAATGGTCACCTCCAGGTTAGACTACTGTAACTCGCTCTATTCAGGGCTAACCTTGAGACTGATCCAGAAATTACAACTGGTCCAGAAAGCAGTGGCCTGGGTTCTTACTGGAACCCCACTGATACTGCACATTTAACCAGCGCTTTGCCAGCTGCACTGGCTCCAGGTTGAATACCAGATCAGGTTCAAGGAATTGGTATTAACCTCTAAGGCCTTAAATGGTCTGAGACCAACGTATCTACGAGACTGCCTCTTCTGGTATACCCTCAGAAGAGCATTATGCTCTGGGGAGAAGTTCCTCCTGGTGATCCCTGGCCCGAAAGATATCTGGCTGTCCTCAACCAGAGCCAGGGCTTTTTCGGCCCTGGCGCTGACCTGGTGGAACTCTCTGCCTAATGACACCTGTGCCCTGCAGGACCTGGTGCAGTTCTGCAGGACCTGTAAGACAGAGATGTTCCACCCGGCTGATGGTTGAGGACAGCAATGTTTTTTTCACTGAGTCTAGCCTCCCCCATCTTTCCCTCCCCCCAGGTAAGGATATAAACTGGGCCTTGAAGCACCATCTAATAATCTGAGATAGTCTTAGATTTGTTATTGTTTTAACTATTTTAACTGACTGCAAATGTTATTTATTGAAATGTGGTTGGTTGAATGTATTGCTGAAGTATTGTTCACTGCCCTGAACCTACGTATAGGGGAGGGCAGTCTATAAATTAAATAAATAAATGTGTGTCTGCTCGGGGGGGGGGGCTTCTGTCACGCAGGAGGAAGACATCTGGGAAGGTATCACTGAAGGGGCAGGGAGTCCCCAGAGTCAATGGTTGGGGGACCCAATGCAGCGGCCAGACGTGATGTTTTTGGAGGGGTGGGGTGGGTACTGGTAGGGGAGGAGGGCACTGGAGTCAGATTCTGGATGCTGTACCAAGGGAGTTGGCAGCAGCTAGAGTCCTACCACAGGGGAGGGATGCTTTCTCCTGGGGCATGAAGGGGTTGGTGGAAGCTGGCAGGTACCCAGAGGGGCTACTGATGTCACAAGGGACAGTGGAGAGAGCCAGGAGTGCACTGAGAAGGGATGGATTAAAGCAACTGACTGGATTACCCACTGGGAATAATGGGAGAAGCTGAAATGCCCATTGGACATACTGGCAGCCAGAAATGCCAAGTGACTTGCATGGGTTCCATTGCAATACATTACTTTACATGACGCTAATGATGAATGCAGAACGGATTTTGATTGACGGTCTCTGGGCAGATTGCTCTGGGAGTGGAATAACAGCCGAGAGTGGAATGGCAGTCATTCCAGTCCCACACTGCTTCTGCTCCATTGAGGAAACAATTGGGGGATCTGAGGGCAGAGCTGCATGCCTCCACATGCAAGCCCACCCCGGTGGCCTCCCTTCTGCTTCACCACTTGCAGGGGTGGCCGAGGGGGTGCAGGGGTGTCCTCAGCAGTGTGCCTGGGCTGCTGGGAAGCATGCCCACTGGTGAGCAGAGGACACTCACAAATCCGTAGGGTAGCAACAACAACCCCCTTCCACTTCTGCCCTCTGATCTCTGTGTGGGCATTGAGGCAGCTGTGGATGCCCGTGGGCCAGATAGCTCAACCCCCCTCCTCACTGTCAGGGGCCCAGAACAGCTGACTGGAGTTTGACCATTTAAGGGGGTGGAGTGTGTACTGCTGACAACAAACCTCCTGTGGCTCACCCCTCTCTGCCCCCTGCCTGTTACGAATGCTGGACTCCACCCCCTTGCCACATGACCCCTGATTGGCTCTGGTTGCCTTGTCCATCACAGTGCCACCACCTCTGTGCAACTCCTCCACTCACAACAGCAGCGGGGTTGCTATGGACTCTACCATGTTCAGATAACACTGCAAACCCATTGGATTTGTCTGCTGGCAAGTGCATAACTTATCCCCATAGAGAATGGACTAGGGGCACTGTAGTTACGTGGCAGTCGGCCACCACAGCGCAGATGTGACACATAATTGTTCTGCCTATAAGTGAAAAAAGATAAAACTTCTTAGTTAAAAGACTAGATTTTAACATAAGAACTGACTCCAATAAATAATTTACCTTGTCACAGTGGCGTAGGAAGTATGTAACGACATAATCCACAAGATTAATTCTATTATCCTAAAAATGAAGAAAAGATTCAACAAGGATCGAAAAACACCAGTAGGGATGTAATGAGATTTTTTAAAATAAAAGCCCCACTGCAGTCTGAGATATAAAAAAATCCCCTTTCATTTAATAAATTATATTAAGTTGTTGACTTCAAAATCATATAACATCAAAGCTGCAGGAAGTAGATATGATAAAAAATCAAAATATTATAAACTATATTTAATTTGCCCTACCACTGTAAACTCAGTATACATAATAATAGATAAGAATATTATTTTGTAAAAACAGTGAATGAAAAAAAATAAATTTTAGATTTATTTATTTAAAAGATTTCTATGCCACCTTTCCAACCAATTTACACATTAACACTAGTTGTTAGTGTGAAAATGTCCACTTTGTATTCCACACTGCATTGACACTGGATTCCACACTGCATTCACACTGATCTGGGAATTACCTGCCTATTTTATTCAGACTCTGAAGCTAAAGTGCAAAGAGACGAAGAAAAACCATTGGTGCAGTGAGGAAGAAACATGATTCTAAAATATTAGAAACCCCTACGTGTTTTGCTTAAAGTTCCTCAGGGGGATCTATGGTATATAAATGCAGTACTGGTCCCACTAAACCAGTAGTGCTGCATTTATATTCCACAGATCCCCCTGAGGAAGCTTTGTATGAAATGTGTAGGAGTTATTAATATGCTGGAATAAAATTTTCTTCTTCACTGCACCAATGGTTTTTCTTCGTCTCTTTGCTCCAACTGGTGCTGCCCTTCAATTTCTTCATGAAGCTGAAGTGTGTTGGATTTCCTTAAGACCTAATGCCAGTGAAGCAAAATAAATGGTTTACCTACACTAGCAGTGATGTGGCAGCAAACATTGGTATTGCTAGTTGTCATGTAAGGATAGTTGTACTCTACTAGCACAGGAGAAGGATGAGATACTCTGGAGGTGGATGCATGGTGTCTTTAGGTAGATGATGGGAAATCTTAAGTGCCAAAGCAGTAGGTCCAATAATCTCTGTCCTCGTTACCACACATAGGATGCTGTGATGACTCTTGTTTAAGGTACCATGGTTATTAAGAACTGTGCGGACAATTTTACAGCTTTAGCTAAAATTGGGGGGGGGGCGTGTAGGTAAAGGCTTTTTCACATTCTCATTTTACTTGTTGTTAAGGTCCTGTTTCTTCAGGGTCCCCCCCTTCTACATGTGTTTTACTCCCTCTAGTGGTTGATTTCACATAAAACAGGTTTATTTCTAGTTTATTTTCCTGTAGATTTAAACCACTGGGAAATAAACTGGAAATAAACCTGTTTTATGTCAAATCAACCACTAAAGGTAGCAAAACATGTGTGGAACAGGAAATGGGAGCTTAACAATGAGTAAAATGAGAATTCAGAAAAGCCCTAAGTAAAGCTCATGGCATGGGTCTGATTCCTAATACTTTCCCTCTGGCCCCTTTAGCTCTATGCTTCTGCCATGTGCAATGTGGCCCTTTTTAAGGGAGAAACTTTTGTTCTGTAGAAAAGGTTTGTAGAACCTGTGTTGCCTACTAAACATCTAAATGATTGAAATCATGAGCCATGTTATATGATGAAAAAACCCAACACATATAAAATTGTACAAGATATACAAATGATAACCACATACTGACATGGGCTATATTCCTTGCATTTCACACAGCAAGTTATTTCACTAATATATATCCCAGCAAAAAATCCCTCCTTTTTTATCAAATAAAAACAATATTGCTCATATCTATGTACTCCTTCCCTATTGTTATATGGGGATCGAATCAATTTAGCCAAGCTGAACTACAAAGAAAGACAAACTGTCCTTCTGGTATGAAATCACTAGTTATAGGAAATTATTAAATAGCACAAAAAGAAAGACACTGAAGTATATTATATGTGGAACGTCTTTGAAGTGTGCTTTTTTAGAGGAAACATACTGCTACCAGAGCAGGGTTTAGCTGTGCAAAATATATAAAGAGAATGTATTCAATCTAATTTCAATTTTATTACTATTGTGCAGCAGTAAAATAGTCAATTATATGAGCCACTATTTGTTATAAATGCAAAACAATACAAAAAACTTTATTGGCAACAGAGCTGTCTGCCTAGATGATACATACAGACTGGGAAATCAGATTGTAATTTATAATTTACTAATTTATAATTTACGCCGAAGAATAGATGCTTATGAATTGTGGAGAAGACTCTTGAGAGTCCCCTGGACTGCAAGGAGATCAGATCAGTCAATCCTAAAAGAGATCAACCCTGACTGTTCCCCAGAAGGCCAGATACTGAAGCTGAAGCTCAAATACTTTGGCCACCAAATGAGAAGGGAGCACTCACTGGAGAAGACCCTGATGCTGGGAAAGATTGAAGGTCAAAGAAGACGGGAACGGCAAAGGATGAGATGGATAGACAGTGTCATCGATGCAACAAGCATGAAATTAAGCAAGCTCCGGATGACGACAGAAGACAGGAGGGCATGGCGTGATGTGGTCCATGGGGTTGCAAAGAGTCGGACTCGACTTTGCGATGGAACAATAACAACACAATTTTTTCACAATAAGATCTCACTGATTTATATTGATTTTGGTTGGTACTGTCATCATGATAACAATCCCTTTATCATTCGATCTTAACCATGAGCCCCCTAATTTGGTGGGGTCATAAGAAAACAATAGCCATCTATCATGACATTTTGTGTCTTCTTCATTTGCTGCTGCAACTATTATTAACAGTAGCCCAGCTGTCAAGACATACTGTGCAGTATACAATCCTTTGCATAAGAAATCTGATGGCATGTTACACAAGAGTAGTAGAAAGTTAATTTTTATATAAGATCTGAAAGTGTTGCACAAATCTCACTCATGTTGTAATCCACATGTGCACATGGATCCCATTATAGGCATGACCCTCAATAGTCTTATGTCAGACATCTATTTTTGCCTAACAGTCACTGAAGACAAGGATATGTGACCACAAGCTATTCTATAGCTATTACCTTAAAAAAGAAGAAGAAAAAAGGGGAAAGTTCAAGGCACTTGGCTGCAAGCCTGCAAGCACGCAAGCACTGGCTACTTTGTAGCGGCATAAAGTAAAAATAAGAAACACAGATCAAGAGCTATAGACAGGACTAATATCTGAGTATTGTAAGTTTCATGTGTAACAAACAACAGGAGTCAAAAAGATACCACTGCCTTTCAATGTAGCTCATTTAAGAGAAGCGGAAATACTTACTCTACTTTTAACATCCTTCAGTTTGGGAAGTATTTCCAAACCAAAACCATCTGCTTGACCACGTGTCCTATTTCCTCCATTCATGTAATTCCCAAAAGCCAGAATCAAACCCAAAATTTCTTTCACAGTTTTCATGTCCAGCAACTCCTGAAGGATTAAGGCAAGTCTGTTAACATAACAGAGCAGCGCAAAAGACACAACTATTTGAATTTGACTTGGTCTCCCCATATCACTGTTCTAGTGTAGACTGTATTTTATTCGGATAACTTATATCCCATTTTGATGTGCATATAAAACAACATTATAGAAAAACACCAACCAACAGCATAAAAACTAAAATACACATGAAATCCATGTCTGATTTATTATTATTTTTTAAATGAAACCCTTCCAAAGCAATGCTTTATCTTCTGTTACTGAAATCTGAATTTGGAAAGTACATTGCAAACATTATTTCTGATTTTTTCACAAATGGATATGTGTCATTATGATGAAATGTTGTTTGCATGGCTTCAATTTTTAGCCTCTTAAAGCAGTTCTATGACTGCTTTACCACCAGTCAAGATCCAGTGTTCAGCTTCATGTAGCTCAATATGTGTCTTTGGCAGCAAGATAAATTAAGATCACGCCAAAGCAAGCAGAGGGCCATGTCCCCATGGAATAAGGTCAAATCAAGAAGACAAACACAAAAAGCACATGTGTGCAAAAATTAAATCTAAATATTGAAAATTTTAAATATACAAACTTAAACCAGCTTCTCTGTTCCTAAATTTCCACTCAGATTCAAAAGCTACATACGGTTCCCCACATAGTCACAGTGGCATTACAAGTGTCTGTCCTTGCTGATGGAAGCTCCTGACATCCCACCCTCAAATGCAGAGCATGCATGGTACACAAATACTCCCACGTATTTTAGGGTTGCTTTTGTAAAGTTTGCTTTGTAGCATTTGAATTTAGTTATTTTGAACAAATGATGAATTCAAACTAAGCTTGCCATTTATTATTCAGATCCGATCTAATTCACTAAAATATATTAATAACTGCGGATATTTTATTAAAATATTTAAACCATTTGGTTTTAAATGCAAGCCATGTAACTGAGATACCACAGTCTCATTTCTATTAACCCACCTAAAATTCCAATGATTTTAAATTCTTTCAAAGTGCATGGCTAAATCATTAGAAAGAATATTGATGAACAACATTTTAAAGAGATTTGCATATGAATCCTCTGTATTTTCATTTGGAATTAAGTTCTATGAGGTTTAGTCCTAAACTAAATGCATAGGATTAAAGACTTAGTTTTCTTTAGTTTTGACTCAGCTACCTTAGAAACATGAGTAATAATGTCCACTTTACGGTGCACTGCAGTTATCCCCTCATTGAAAACAGACTGAAAGATTATACATTGGGCCCGTTCTGCAAAATTGGAGATTTGGGATAACTCATACAAAAACCTGTGAAAAAAACAACAAATATTTACTGTTAAAATTCCCATTTAATCTTATTTTACATTCTTTTGGTACATAGAAACTACTATAAAGAGTATTGTGTCTTGTTATCACTAAGCCTCCAGAAAGAGACATATAAACTCCTACTCCATAATATGAGAGAGAGAGAGAGAGAGAGAGAGAGAGAGAGAGAGAGATATGCTGTCCTCTGCTGGTTGGAAAAGTACGTATAAACTGTAGTTTATTTTTCCAAAGCAGTTGCTTGATGTAGGACTGGGTTGATTCTTAATGGGTTTGAACATTGATCCCAAAGTGCCTGTGACAAATCAGGTCATTTTCAAGCCGAAATCCTAAATACATTTCCTAGGAAATAAGGACCACTGATGCCGGGAGGACTTGCTTCTAATAAACATTTTTAGGATCAGTCAGTTAATATCGTTCTAGCTATACAGATGCACTGGAAAGCTGCATGACACAGGGACTGGGAAGGCACTTTGTACTGGTAAACTATGAAGAGTTCAATGTACCACTTAGGTCACCTAAATCAGTTTTTAGACTCCTCTTTCCAAATGGAGTGTTCAGTGCTTATTTGTACCCTATTTTAAGCGTCTTGGTTTCTTCACAATTAGTTACTTGGTGTAGTGCTGAAATTATCTTACTGATGCTATGAAAGATTAAGTCAAGTTTATTAAATGGCTGTAGCAAGATATAGGCAGATCTAATGTGAATCAAAAGAATTCTACTGAGATCCAGGCACAAATTCCGCTGACCTGCAATGTTGACTCACTCCCTGTTTCTTTGTCACCTCCTGTGAAGACTTAGGGTTGGATTCAAGCTTTCCTGAACGAAGGCAATTTGCAGAAGAAGAACTTGCTGGCCTTCCACAAGCAGGCCCTTGCACCCCATTAAGCAACTGCTGAAGATTGAATCAAGATTGAGGTTCTGTGGCTGGGGGGGGGAATTGGGGTAGGGGTACTGTTATGTATTAAGATAGACTACACATGCGCTTGGGTTTGCACGTGGTCAGGCGACCAAGCGCAGCTTAAGGTTCTATAACAATAGCAGGCAAGGATCCGAAAACTAGGTCACCTCAGATCCTACGCCCAACCTATGATGGATAGCCACCATGTAAATAGCCTATCATGGGAAGTGGTGTGTGTGTTGGGTGTGGTGTGTTTCACAGATTTAAGCAGGGTCACAGCCCTGCAAGTTGTCTTGTGTTTTTACCAAGTTCCAATAAACCATGAGCTGATCACTTCTATGTGTCCAAACTCAGTATATTACACTGGCGATGAGGGTGGGATCCCGATGAGCGAGCCTGACCCAGCAGCCAAACCAGCATCGCAACACGAATTCCCGGACTACACAACCAGCACTGCACCATGCACCGAGCCTCGGCTCACCACATTTCACACCTCTCCTCCTCGAGTCATGGCTGCCGCTCCAAGACAGATCACTGCTTTTGACCCGGCTCATCCCGAGCTCTGGAAGCATGGGTTGAACAACTGAAGTATTTCGTCCATTTCCAGGACATTGTGGAGGCGGAAAAAGAAGAAATCACTCCTGCTCAGCACATGTGGCATCTTCACGCTGCGTCTGGTCCAGGGCCTCATCGCACCCAAGTCTCTGGAAGAATCAACGTACGAGCAGCTTGTCAAGGCCCTCACGGATCACTTCACGCCTTAACCCACCAAAATGGTGGTGCACATGGACTTCTTTGCATGAACTCAACAGCCCAGCAAAGTGCACACCGACTTCATGGCCCAACTGCGGAGGCTGGCCATCAATTGCAGGTTTTCTGACCTCGAGGACGCCCTCCTAAACCAATTTGTATGGGGCGTCCGAGAGCCCAAGCTCCGCAGGAAGCTCATCAGCCATGACAAGCTCAACTTGGAAAAAGCCTCTGCATGGCCACCACGTTCAACAAATCCCAGCAGGATCGGCCGGGCCAAGGCACACATCAGACCTCCACGTTCCTGCCCTCCAATGTATTGGATGATGATGAGGTGTTCCAGGTCCTCCGCCACACTCGCCAGGAGTCATGACCGCCGTCTGCTACTCCCCCACTGGCAAAGTCAAGTGCCCATGCGCCCATGAGGAATGGTGCCCAAACGCCCTGCACCAGCTGCAGTGAGGTCCACGACCGTCGTTCCTGCCATTTCTGGGTTGCGATCTGCCAATCCTGCAACAAATCCAGCCACATCGCCCATGCCTGCCATTCCCGAGGGGCCCGACGCCAGCCAACCACACACCAGGAATCTGCAGAGCTTCACATGATTGCTGTTCGCCACCACCAGGTATTGAACTTGCCCCGAGACATCCCTGATAAGATTAAAGTAACTGTTTTAATAGAGGGGGCCTCCTGAAATGGAACTGGACACAGGTTCCTCCATTTCCATCATTTCGGCAGAGACACTCCGAGGGCTCTGTCTGCGGGGAGGGGGGTTGAACCCAATTGACTTTACCCTCTGTGACTTCCAGAAGAACCCAGGAGTCAGGCAAGTTCAGAGTGCAATTTTTGTTGTTCAGTCGCAGTCGAGTCTGACTCTTTGCGACCCCATGGACCAGATCACACCAGGCCTTCCTGTCTTCCACTGTCCTCTGAAGTTTGCTCAATTTCATGTTCGTTGCATCTATGACACTGTCTAACCATCTCATCCTTTGCCGTCCCCGTCTTCTTTGACCTTCAATCTTTCCCAGCATCAGGGTTTTCTCCGGTGAGTGCTCCCTTCTCATTTGGTGGCCAAAGTATTTGAGCTTCAGTTTCATTATCTGGCCTTCTGGGGAACAGTCAGGGTTGATTTCTTTTAGGATTGACTGATCTGATCTTCTTGCAGTCCAAGGGACTCTCAAGAGTCTTCTCCAGCACCATAGTTCAAAAGAATCTATCCGTTGGCGCTCGGCCTTCCTTATAGTCCAACTCTCGCAGCCATACATGACTACTGGGAATACCATTACTTTGACCATGCGGACTTTTGTTGGCAGGGTGATGGCAGGGTGCAATACTGGGACTTTAATGGACTGTTAGACCTGGTGGTGGTAGAAGACCAGCTCACCAGTCTGCTGGGACTGTCCTGGTTTGCAGCATTGGGGTTCAAGGTGACGGGCATTCACAACGTACAGCTGACGGACTTTAACAGGGTGTGCGAGGAATTCCCAGCGGTATTCGATGGCACGCTGAGGCATTACATTGGTTCCTCAGTCTCCCTCAACCTAGACCCAGCAATCCACCCCATCCGCAGGAAGGCCCGGTGGGTTCAGTTTGCCTTACGACCTAAAATCGACCTAGAACTAGACTGCCTCATAGCCCAGGGGGTTCTGGAACCCGTACTGCATGCCCCCTGGGAAACCCCGATCATGACCCCAGTGAAGCCCAATGGGGATGTCCGGATATGTGCTGACTATAAGGGCACAATCAATAAGGCTCTCCAGGACCACACATATCCTGTTTCCATAGTGAGCCACGTGTTAGCTTCCCTAGTGGGAGCCAAGGTTTTTGGGAAACTGGACCTGGCCCAGGTGTATCAACAGCTCCTGGTGGACGATGCCACCACAGATGCCCAAACGATTGTAATGCACAGGGGCACGTTCTGGATGAGCCGGCTGCAGTTTGGGGTCAGTGTGGCCCTGGGGATCTTTCAAAATCTGATGGATCATCTCCTTAAAGGCATCCCTGGGGTCCAGCCCTTCTTTGATGATGTTTTAATCGCTGCACCATCGACAGAGGTCTTCGCCGAGAGGCTCCGTGAGGTCCTGCAATGCTTCAACCCTCTGCCAAATGACATCCATGCCCTGTGGTATCTTATGCAGTTCTGCAGGGCTTGCAAGACAGAGACGTTCTGCCAGGCCTTTGGTTGAGGACAGCAATGGACACCATCTTGGCTGGCACTCCCTTGCTCCTGCTCCCACCTATCTCCCTATGAGATGGGGACACAGTTGAACTTGTATATACTAACACCATCTGAATATCATAAACTATGACATTGTTTTAATCAGTTTTTAAATTGCTGGTATTGTTTGATTATATGTTTTCTTATCATTGTTCATCGCTCAGAGCCTTGAGTACTTAGGGATTGAGCAATTTATAAATCTCTGGTGGTCCCTACCTAGTGGAATGAGCTCCCATATGAGATCAGGGCCCTACGGGATCTGTTACAGTTCCACAGGGCCTGCAAGATGGAGCTCTTCCACTGAGCCTTTGGGTGAGGTGGCGGATGTCCCTCTTCCCTCCTGGCTACCTCCCCTTCAGTGGCCTGGTTCCAAATAGACACCAGGGTACCCACTGCTGAATTTTAAATAATCCGACTGACATCGGAATTAACTTCTCAACATGGTATTTTATGGCTCTATTGTTTTAAATTGGTATTTTAATAGTTGTTTTATTGGTATTTATTATGATTGATGTAAACCGGCCTGAGCTGTACTCTGGGGTACCACAAAAAGTGGGGGTTGTGTTACATCCCTCTCCTCACTCTCAAATTAAGGTTGCCAGGGATGGGGGGTTTACCAGGAAGGAGAGGGAGGCCCAGGCAACGTTGCTGGCAATGTGGCTATGTCATGTCTGCCATGCATCAGAAGTGATGTCATCATGCTGTGACGGCATGGTGATACTTTGGAATTTGTGCAAAAACTCTATGGTAAAAAGGCTTCTACCATACAGTTTTGCCCAAATACCAGAGCATTGCTGTGATGTCGCTGATGTGATGATGTCACTTCCAGTGCACACTGGAATAGACATTGCAGGCAACATAGCCTGGGCCTCCCTCCTTCTCCTGATAAGTCCCCCCCGCCGGCCAGCTGATTGGCGGCGGGGAGTAGGGCCTGGTGGCGGGGCATCCCCTTCTTCCACCAGGAGGGTTGGCAACTCTATAACAAATACATCATGACCAATGCTCCCTCTAAAATGTGGAGTCCTGTGAGCAAAAATTATACTTTGTGAGCTACTGACATTAAAGTTGTGAGTGAGTGATTTGGCTACTGCATAAATTAGTTTGCTCTGGAGGCTAAGAAACGGTGAGCTAGCTCACAGTAACTCAGCTTAGTGGGAACACTCATGACTTGCAAAATGAAGACCTTCATGAACCCAAAACATGACCAAAATTTTGTTTACAGATACAGTGAACACTATAGCAAAAACTCCAACTCAGGGAAACAGCATGTGCTACCTTGTACTATAAATGACTCCTCAGTGAATGCTTGATAAATTAAAATCTATAACTATGGGTACAGGTGAACTGGATGAGCCTTTCTAATCTACAACTGCCTGATTTGATCAGGGACTACTTTGAGTCCCCAATCTGGCCTTCTTGCTGCAGCATGAATTTGGGGCTAGCATTTTCAAGTGCTTGCAGCATTTCACATACTTTATCTCAAAGATGTCACCTAATTCTGTGCATATCTATATTGTTTATTTAAAAAGATACAATAGTTCACTGTGGTACTATGATCAGGGAAAAGTAGTTTACATGGCCTACACCTTTATGACTGAGTAATGTGGACAACATTGTATAACATTTTGATTTCTCACTTCAAACAATCAGGTCTGTAGATGAATAACATACAGGGAACACAGACATTCAGCATACATTCCTGTGCTCAGTTACATGCTGAAACCCATTGCCTTTGGTTACTCTAATAAAACACAGAATTATAGCCTTTGTTTTTTTCAAATTGATATTCCCCAAAGAATGATGCTCAAATACTGAAAACATAGTACCCTGAGGTTAGGAAAAGAATTAGCAAGTTTAACTTACAGGAAGGTAGGGTTAGGCTCATTAAGAAAATAAAAGGTTTAATAGAATGAGCTGCCTAATTTTATGAAATCTCTGTTCAAGGAAAGGCTAGGCAGACATCTTTGGGGAACAGTTGAGTTATAGGATCTCCAAGTGTTAGGATAGGTATTTGTAAATCCTTGATCTTATTTTACTCTAGTCACAATGATATGCCATCATTCTTCTTTCAGGTTTCTTTTTCATGATGAGAAAGTACAGGGACAGCCCCCCCCCCTTCTTACTGTTCTGGCTTGTCCAGGAGTTTTACTTCTTCTTCTTTTGAAGTGTCATAATACTGCTTTATTTTCTCCAGTTCATCCCTTTGCGCTCTCTGTAATTGCAATGAAATATCAGCAATAAGTTTTGATATAATCAGTTTAGAGAGTGCTAATCACTTGTTTTGACAAAGAGGAAGGGATTCAGTGACTCAACTGTATCTACAGGGGATTAGCACTACCAAAACTGACAGCACTGGCCATTTGTTTTGTGGTACATATGCAGTCCTCTCTAGAGCTAGAAGTCAAAAGAAACATCAGTGTAGGATGCACTTGTGTGTCATTACTGATCCCAAAGTTAACAGTCTGCTTCTCTGCACATATATGCCTTGCTGGACTGAGGCAACTGTGCTCTTTTAAAAAAATGTTTGTTGCTGAAGCACTAAGGATGCACATAGTCCTTTATCTGCAGGTGTCAAAGTGACAGAGTTTATATGCTTTCCAGCTTCAATTATCTTTAATTCATCTCAATACAAAGCCATTTTTCAGAGTGTACTGATAAGCTTGCGGCAAAACTATATGAAGTAGCTAATTTAGAAGTTGAAGTCCAGAGGTAGGATATATGCCTTCCATGCAGAAGACCCCAGGTTTATTCCTTTGTATCTCCGCATACAGGGTCTTTCCAGGTACAGAAAGTGAGAAAGACCTTCCCCTGCTAGAGACCACTGCCTGTTGGAGTTGGCAGTGGTAAGATTGCAGGGGTGGACAGTCCATTTAACTTACAGGGAAAGTTCCCAGTGGACCATTGCACTGGAGGGCCACTGGCAGCCAGGAGTAAGCAGAGCCAAACACCAGTAGCGCTGCCAGCATTGCAGGGACTATTCAGTTCAGAGTCAGAGCCAATCAGAGGTCCCAACAATGGCAGCTGGCCGATCCACTGCCTCCTTCTGAGCTGTCATCACCTCATGTCAGTGGAGGAGGCCACAAGAACTAAGCACTGTTGCAACCCTTCCTGCCCTTCCTTCTCGTGATCCACCTAAATTCACAGAATCAGCATTGCTGTCAGATGGCCATCTAGCCTCTGTTTGAAAACCTCCAAAGAAGGAGAGCCTACCACATCTTGAGGAAGCCGGTTTCATTTTGTAGTTGTATTGTTTTCTTTGAAATACTTTGGACATTTTTACCTTATTGTGCTTCTCAAGAATGAATGACTTGGTCTTCCAACATTTGCTAATTAGGTGGAAATTTGACAAATGTGGTAGTAACTTAGCAAAGGAGACCGAAAGTATACAGGGAGCTACACGATATGCTTGAACAATTCAGCAGCTGTATCTGATGTAAGGTGGCAGACACAGAGAATGGATTACAACAAACCAACATTTTTACTGAAGAAAGACAATATTTGTAAAGAGACAAACAGGACATGAAACTAGATTATCTCACTGTGTGTATGTAAAGTAACTAAGCAGAAGCTGATGTTTTAATACTTACATTTTCATACAGTGCTTCCAGTGTTTCTAGGTCTACTACTGAATCATCCACATTTAGTATAGCTAAAGAAAAGATAAAAACAATGTGAGCTAATCAGTACAGTGTGCTAAATGAGCTCAGGGCCCAAGCAGTATTCTTCTGCAGCTGGAACAAACTTGCAACATCAAATCCAAGCCCATATATACAGTATAAGAGCCATGAAAAAAAAATCTGTTTTATTTAAGAACATAAAAAGAGTCTTGCTAGATCAGAACAGTGGGATATCTAGTCCAACCAGTTGCCCTGGAGGGTGAACAAACACATGTAGAAGCCAAGGTTATCCCTGATGATGCCTCCTACCTAGCAATCGTTTTCATCGCTTTACTGCCTCTAGATATGCTGTAATAGGAGCACATTATGGAAACAGGCTGGAAATCCAGGTCAGGCCCCACTCCATTTATAAAGTAAAGCAGGAACCCAAAAGGACTTGTGGGGGGGGGGAGGTTTACCTTATTTCTCCTTCCTCCATTATTTCTTCTTTCTCTCCCTGAAAGCCACCATAGCCTCTCCCATTTTCCTGCTTTGTTCACCCCTTCCCACCTAACAGACAGCCTGCTTTTATCTGCCCCTCTGTCTTTAGTTCCCCTCACAGCAGCCTGTACCTAGGAAAACTATGACCCAGTTGCGTGATTCTGGCTGCTGGACCAAGCCAACGTGTATAGTAGTGAATCATCAAGGACTTGTAGGCAGAGCATGTCACTGTTCACTGTATTTCCTTCCACACAATATTTTCCCTTTCCTTCCTCCCATATCCTTTTTCCTTTCTCTGCCTCATTCTCTCTACCTCAGCCACTTATCAGCCTACCTTTTATCTGGCCTCCATCTTCAGCTCTATTTATTTATTTACTTAATTTATACCCTGCCTTTCTCCACAGTGGGAACCAAAGCAGTTTACATTCTTTCCTCCTTTTTCTCCTCACAATAACCCGGTAAGGTAGGTTAGGCTGAAAGCATGTGACTGGCCCAACATCACCTAATGAGCTACCATGACATAAATCAAGCCTAGAATGCTATGGCTGCCTATCAGTTGCCACTGAGAGCTTCATTTAAAAAAAACAAAACCCTACAGGTATTCCCGTTACCTCTTTGGTTTTTTTTAAACTCTCAATGGCTCCGGTCACACGGGAAGGAAACTGCAGAGGGGAAGCGTGGCTGTTTGCCCCGGGGCAAACTAAAGCACAGTTAAGTGATCAGACCTCTTGTGGAGGTTCTGTGGAGGTACCGTGGAGGATTTGTGGGAAGGGAGAGGTGCCGATCACAGGACACGCCTGCGCGCAACGAAGAAGCGCGCGGTGCGGCAAACTGGTTTTCTTTTTGTGTGTACACGACGAATGCGCATGCTCCATTGGGTGCGTGTGCGCATCCACGGAGACTTGGGGAAAAAAACACACCTTTTTCGCAAGGGGACATGGGTGGGCGCCGGATGCCACTGGAAACGCGATCAGACGCCCGCCCTTGCCCCGCAGTTTCCGAAAACTAGTACCTCCGAGGTACTAGTTTTTTGCTGCGTGTTTTCGGCGGGAAGCCTCAGTTGTGCCACGGAAGCGCTACGCTTCCCAGATGTGCCGGTGAGATCGCGCCCAGAAACTCCGCCTGTCTTCCGTCTCTCTTGCATGGCTAATGTTCCGTGTGACCGCAGCCATTGTAAATATATATATTTTTAGGTTTCACATTCTTCTGCAAACCTGGGGCGTTTTCCAGGTGTGTAGAAAGATCTATTCACAGTTCCAGTCACTGGATTTAAGCATTCTAAGATTTGGCTATTAGAATATACAAGTGGGGACCCACAAGAATTTTTTTTAAAAAATTTGCGGGAGCAGCTATCTCATTCCACCCATCTTTGCTTCTTCCCCTCTCCCCCTACTTTCTACTTTTCTCTGTCTCTCACTCTGTCTCCCTCCTGCCACCCCTTTTCTTCGTCTCTCTCTCTCCCATGCCTGTTACTTCCTATTTCTAAATTAGGCTTGCCATTCCCCCTCAGTGGGGGACAGGGGTTTAAGGTATTGAAGGCAAGAGACAGTAGTCAAAAGAAAAGGCTTTATTCAAATATTGCTCAGCTGAGGACTGCTTTGCAAAGAGCAGCACTCAAACTTATATGATTTCATAATAGAACTATATACAATGTTACCAGATTCAGGAGGTCTGATTGGACCTAAGCAGAGCCTCAGGATAAGACATTCTGCATGGCTTTAGGACCAATAGGCAATCTTTATTAGGGAGCCAATCCCAACAGAGAGAACCAGGATACTACAGTTTAAACATAACATAGAACATAACACTCCTCCCCCCATGGTTCAAATATGATAGTCCCTAAGGTAGGCAGAGGCCTGCCTCGTTCAGGTGGACCTTCGTGGTAGCGGCGTACCTTCCTGAGAATGCCCGCCCCAATGGGTGCCCTGAGAATGGCCAGAGTCCATGTGTTCCGAGGGCCCATCAGCACCGTCAAAGTCCTGGATGGGTTCTGAGTCGAGTTGGCAAGGTGCCGGCTTGACCGGTGGCCTGGATGCCCCAGCAACCCGAGCAGGAGACCATTCCCTGCGAAAAATAGGCACCGCAGGAGAGGGTGGCTGAACTGGCATGGCTGCTCAGACAGAAAACAGTTCTCCCTGTTGACTGTCAGCCTCCTGGGCAGGAGGTGGCATTGGTGATCCTCGGCAGAATGCATCTCCTGGGCACCGACAATGCTCTCCACTGAGAGAACGCCAGGAACTGGGGTGTGCTGCAAGTCTCGCCAGGAACTGGGGTACATTGCAATAGCTGGGGTGCATTGCAAGGTCTCTTCCTGCGCTGGCCAATGACATTGGAGTTGGGCCAAATGACAGCAGCGGACTTGCCCTGCCTCATCCTGCACCTCGTAGGAGATGGGTCCTGTAGCCCAGAGGATGAAAGCTGGGACCCAGTGCGGACCTTCCCCATAGTTCCAGGCATAGACGGTGTCATCCGGAGTGAAGGTCTTCATGCTCCCAGAGGTGATGGGGTCATGGCTAGAGTCTCGTGCAAGGTTCGGGTGGATGCGGCTCAACCGGGTGCATAGCTGGTGGCCCATAAGGAGCTCTGTTGGGCTCTTCCCCGTAGCTGAGTGGGGTGTGGAGTGCTGGTGAAGCAGAAAGTCTGTGAGGTTGGTCAGGAAGTTCCCTCCGCTGAGCCTGCAGAGTGAGTCCTTCATGGTCCTCACTATGCGCTTCACCTGGCCATTCATCTCTGGATGGAAGGGAGCCGAGGTGACGTGTCGGATGCCTCGCTCGTCTACGAACCTCTGGAACTCGGCAGAGGTGAACTGAGCTCCATTGTCAGAGGCAAGGAGGTCTAGCAGGCTGAAAGTGGCAAACAGGCAGTCCAGGCAGCAGGTGATGATGGCTGTAGTCATGGAGGTGACAGGGAACACCTCCAGCCATTTCGATGAGGCATCCACGGCTAGCAAGAGTGTCCTACCCTGAAAGGGGACAGCAAAATCAATGTGGATGCGGGACCAGGGACCCCATGGCTTTTCCCATGGGTGAACAGGGACTGGGGAGCTTCTGGTCTTGACTCCTGACAGGGCTGGCACGTTCAGACCCAGCCTTTGATCTGTTGGTTGAGCCCCGGCCACCAGACATAGCTCCTTGCTATCGCCTTCATCTTTACGATGCCGGGGTGCCCTGCTGTCTCAATTGGAGAGGAACCACGACCCTACTCCCCTACAGGAGGCATCCCTTGCTCACCGACAGTTCCTCTGAGCGTGACTGGAATGGTTGAAATTCGGTCTTGAGCTTCCTGGGCGGCCATCCCCTCCACACGTACTTGAGGATGCGGCTGAGCAGGTGGTCCTGGGCAGTGTAGAAGGCGACTTCGGGAACTGTGAGAGGAGGCTGAGGAAGCTCTTTGATAAGGAGCGTTTCCTGGATCGGGGCGCCATGCTGTTCAGGCAGTGGTAGGCAGCTGAGGGCATCAGCATGCCCGATGGCTTTAGGGCACAAGGAAAGGTGCTTAGGGTCAGTGATTGATTTATGACACTAGTGACTCACTGACATAATCTTTACATGTTTTAAGATGGGCAAGGGCCACATGTAGTGGCCTTCACAGATTCCAGGATCCTGGCAGCATCCATTACTGTAACCAGCTCAAAGTGATCCACAAAGCGATTGGATGCTGTGTTGAGGGTGTCTAGTGCCTCAGCTATCTTTTGCCCAGCATCTAAGTCAGAGCGTATTTGAGAGATTTTCTCAGTAATGAACTCTGCAAAGGTGTCACAGCCAATTGTCAGTAATCTGTCCGTATTTTCTACTTTGGTAGTGTATCCAGGATCTCAGGCAGAGGTATTTCATATTGCCTTTTTAAATAAAGAACTGAATCTTACTTAACTTGAATGTTTTTCCTACATAGTGCCAATGGTATGGCTCTGAGACAATGTGGGAAAGTGGCAACAATCATTTATAGGATGAATCCCTTATTGTTATAAAGCTTGAATTTCCAGAATAAATTGTGGCCCAGAAGTAGTTCATTTAAAGATTCTACCACATCCTACTTAACCAGTTTGTGATGTCATAAACTTTTGCGGGCAAGATGTTGAGAAGGCCCTTGACATACACTAAGGTAGAGCAGAGGATAAGTCAAGTTACTTATCTAAATGAATAAAATAAAAAGAAGAAATAAAGATGATGGGAATGCAAACAAACAATGCCAGTAAGCAACGTGAGGCCATATGGGGTTGGATCCAGTGATCAATTTCAACTATTGAAAGACGAGTGCTTTTTACCCATTCTCCCTTCCACTGCATATGCTTTGCACCAGAGGTCATTTCGGGGGGGGAACACAGTTCCCCCGGGTGAGGTGCAGGGGGGCGGGGCACATGACAAAGCCCCGCCCCCTGCTTCCGGCCGCCCCGCTTCCAGCCCTCATTCAGCCAGGAGGAGGCAGGAGAAGAGGGAGGGTAAGTTGCTTCCTCCCCGCCTCTCCCCACCCCTGCCTGCTTGGGGCCAGGGAGGGCCTTGGTCGGGCCCCTGATGTCAGGGGGTGTGGTATATGCTAATGAGTTATGCTAATG